GTTTCCAATTATACTTATATTTACATGAATATATATATATATATACATATATATATCGCTGGCCATGTGATTCTGTTTCTATTCTAAGTAAAACACCTCCTCGACCTCCCTCCACCACGGAGGGCCAGATTCACTACTGTGAGCGCCGGGTACGAAGCTCTACGATCAAAATCTGGTTAGCATCCCAGGAGTCATCCTCACAGCAGTGGAACTTAGGATATTTACCTCTTGGAAGCCATCGGTCATGGCCCACCACTCTCTTACTTTTGGATTCTCTCGCATGCGGACCATATCGCCGATATAGTCGTTCCCAACATATTTAAAGCTCGCAAACAGGATCCCCGTACCGGGGTCGTGGAAGATGCTGTCTGTAGTTGTCAAGAAAGGGGAGAATATTAGTCTCGAAACAGTTGGCTTTATATAGTATAAGTAGAGGAGAAGTATCTTACAGTCCTCGATATTGCAGGCCTTGATTTGCTCTAGAACCTCGGGCCACTTTGACGGAGTTAGTACTCTCTGAAGATAATGATAAAGGTTCCTTATATATGGACATTACGTACCACGGCAGCATGTACTTCTTTGTATTTATCAATAAACTCTGGCTTCAGCTTAACAATCTGCGCGATGCGACGTGCCGTCTTCTTAGACTCCGGATCGGGCGATTTAGTGATGCGAGCAGGCGGCGGAGCGTGGGGTTTCCACATGGTGATAATAATGAAGGGCAGATGTTACTTGTCGGCTTAAGTTGGTATCTCTTTCTTCCTTTCTTCCTATTTGCTTACTTCGCTTTAGATCTCTAGAATCTACCAGATTTGCTTCGTTTCTACGTGATATACACCTCTAGTCGAGGGGCTGCCGGCGGGGAGGTACTTAATTGGTGTTATATGGGGTTCGGTGGAAGTTCACCGCGAGGCGTCTAGAGCCAAGGGACACATCCAGACGCGGGGAAACGAATGAACCGAAATGTCCAATCTAGACTCGCTTGCGTTTTGTTATTGGCCTATACGAGGATATTCCCCTTACGTTTCACCTTTCTCGGCTTCCTCTTTCTATAGAAGAAAAGCAGCTTTGTTTCACTCTTTTCTTAGCTTCACACCAACTACTAGGAACATATTCGTACCTAGCCTAGCGTCTATAAATCCCAAGTATCTATTAGCTTACATCTAGGTTCCGCGAACCCTCAAGGGCCTCCATATCGGCCACCGGGTTGTTTGGTAATTCTACAAATATGTGATTAATGGTCACCTTCGGCAGACCCCTTTTAGACGGGCCTGCTCATTTTATATGCCAAACTCCGCCCATGCAACAGCCTATCCCTCCCCTTTCATATACCGGGTTTAATTTTCTTAAGCCAACAAGTAGTAATAATATCGGTTTATAATCGTCCTATGTCGGCCGGTTCCTTCCATCCTATATTGTTATAGACCCATGCTAGCTGCCTCTTTTAGAGACAGATGCCTGCTAGAAATTGAAAAGCCGTCCCCAATTCACTCCTTATTAAAACCGCGCGCAATCATCAGAGAGTAAGCCGTATTAAACTTCGAAGGGGAACAGGCGCATCGCTCGGCGGCCGAGAAAAAGGCGTTACGTGTAGATCGCTTCGATTAAGTAGATGAGGCCAAACACCAAAAATGCAATGGCGCCACCTACCGTCACTATGAAAACACCTATGTTAGCAACTAGCTGTAGAATACGGCAGATCTCATCTATCGCAACTTACCAACTTTCAAGCTCACTTTACCGGCAATGGCCCTGCCACCGAGGACAGCTACGCCGGTACAACATGCGTGGCCCAGCACGGCGCCCAATGTCACCCACCAGTAGTCTTGACCAGCAGCCATGGCAATCGTTGCAATCTGACTACGATCTCCCCATTCCCCCAAAAAGGTCATGACAAAAGTTTGCACCCACGCGGGACTTAGAAGAAGCGAGAAGAGGTTCGATAGGCCAACGCCGAATCCGCTGAAAATGTTACGCCGAGGCGACGGACTCCTACCTGGAGAGGTGGAGGGACTGCGAGGTGGAGTCGGGAATCGAGACTGGGACCTTGGCTTCCGGTCGCTGCTGAGCCCCATCTCCAACGCGTACGGAGATAGAGAGGAGCGCCGTCTACCTTGTTTTAGTGCCAAGTGCTCCTTCTCCTGCAGCTCCATCTCAACCTCTTGCATCTCTGCCGTGACGCCCTCGTTTGGATCCATGGCCATGCCCTCACGTAGCAACTTCGCGCCAAATATAAAAAATAGTCCCGAGGCTAGGAAAGTCGTCACTCTCTTTGGGATCAGGGCTGGAACCGTATGACCCATCACGGCAGATAGGACAGTCATGACCAGCAAGGCACCAAAAGCAGCCGAGAATACAAGCATACGGTCATGCTTCATGGCCATGAGCGCGGCAACGAGGAATGTTTTATCACCCACTTCAGAAAAGAGGATCATGGTGAGAGAAAGCACAAAAGAGTGGAAAGGTTGAATAAGGCCTTCGTTGCCCTCGTCATCTTGCTCCCAAGTCTTGGTGGTAGATTTGGTAGGTTTCGATACGTCGAGGTGATCTTTATTGGCCGAGTCAGGAACGGGATTCGGGTCGTCGCGTAGTTTACCTGGTAGGTCTAATGGCTTCTGTGCGGTAAGTTAGCACCTTAAAAGTAGTATATAGGGTTGTCTTCATACCTCGAGTCCGGAAACATCTTCTGGCGTCTGGTGTAGGTCAACTTTGCCTTTTTCCTTCTTGTTAACTTTCTCGCTCGTAATCTTTTCTTGCTCACTATGCGGCAACGGTGGTTTCTCCTTTGGGGTTTCGGGCACGTTCTCAACCTTCTCCCCAGTTACACCCTCTTTAGCTTTCTTGGCTTTATCTTTCTCGCTCACGCCTCCTTCGGTACCGGTAGTGCCCTGCTTAGGAGGCTGACGATGGGGGTCGTCCATGACGCCGTCGTTGCTCTCGGGTATCTTCTTCCCATCGATGACGGTAGGATCTACCGGCCGGTCTTTCAAGGAAGGGAGGGGCTTGGTTTCTACAACATCATTGGCATCACCCTTCTTGCGCCCCTTATCAGTCGTTACGAAAGGACCCTCATGCGGCATCCCATCTTTACCATCTACTGGCGCGACTTTGGTGCCGACATCGACTTTGGTCGACTTGGAAGATCCGGCAGCTGAGTCTAGAGATTGGGACGACGCACTGCCCGCACCCACAGCGGGAACATCTTTTGCAGGTTTCGTACCTAATGTAGATGCGGCTAGGGCAAGGGAGGGTAGAAGTAGAAGAATAAACGGCGTTCGTCGTTGACGGAGTCTCATGATGGGCACGAGATTAGGTAATCTAGTAAAGCTGAGGTTATTGCTGGTGATGTGTAGTCGCCAGCCCAAATATGATGTGAACAGGTTTCCAACCAAGCGACTATTATTCTACAAATATGGCAATGTTCCTTCAAAAGCCTGCGGCGGAGCCAACGCAATGCGTGGCTAACAAGGATAAGACGGCGGTGCGATCCCTAAAATGGGGGCAAGTTTTAAGTTAGATGTACAGGAAAGACAGAAGAAGAGGGATAACGCCAATGAAGAGGAATGTAAGGATTATTAGATTATAGTGCTGGAAGAACCTTTACTCTTGAACGGAATCAGCGTGAAAAGGGGCAAGAAACTTGAAGGTGGAAAGATGTAACAGGGCAGTAAGTGAGTTAGGTAAGTGGTATGTACGCGACAGTACCTAACATAGAAGACCGAAAAGCTGGGGGGTTACAGGTGCTACCCACAAATTACCTTTCCACTGTACTAGCTCCAAACAGCCCCAAAATGTACATGGGCTAGGCATTCCAAATTAAGCCTGCTGCTACTCTGGTACTGGTACCCATATTTAGGTCCTGTATTTGAGGCACAGCACTGAAGCCGGTCAGGGCCGGTGTCACAATATAATATATTTTGTACCCATTATAAAACGAACGTATATAACATTAACTTCAATAATGTCAGATTAGTCAGCCCTGTCAAGTGACCTAAAATCTTTGATGTCCATGTAATTACCCGCGTTCGACGCGTTTTCACGATTTTACTAGTTTTTTAATAAAGTAACTGTTTATTTCCGGGATTATATCTGGTCTGTGCGCTTGTTTACACCCCTAACCCTAACCCAATCCCTAACCCAAATAAAGAGGGTTATATAATATCGAAAACGGCATTAGCGACAATAGTAACAACAACACCAACAATACCAACACCATTAATACCAGCCATTATAACAACGTAGCGACCTATCGTGGGTTTCCCACGCATTTATAGAACCGGCGTACACTCTCTCAATCTATAATGTCTGGGCGCCGTCGTCCAGCGACGCGTCAGACCGAGGCCGTTGAGCCAGCGGAGCCGGTCGCGAGACAGACTCGACGAAGTGCTAGACTTACCGAAGCATCTGTGGAGCCTGAATCCCGATCGCAGATTGAAATCTCACGACGCGGTACTGGGCGTCGGCGTCGTAGGAGCCTCGAGAGCGGCGCGACACACGAGGCCCCGAAAGGCTCTACAGATCACGTGAATCCCGAGCTAGAAAACGAGCCAGAAGATGAGCCAGAACATCTTGGTATGCTATTTCCGGACTTCATGTGCTAGCTTTTAACTAAGTATTTTTTGTAGACTTGGCTCCGATATCTGAGCCTATCGTTTCCCAGAATGACGCAGGATCCGAGACAGACGATATTCACGAGTCATTGGAGGTGGACGCTTCTAGAATTCAAGATATGCTCGACTTTGATATACCCAAGTTCACACGCTGGTCCGGCAACATGTACGACATCCTATCATCTATAGATAACAAGCAGCCAAGCGTGGAAGATCGTTCAAGGTTAAGTCGCACCAGAAAATCATATAATCACGCCCGCCTTCCTTTTGCCGATACCAGCGCCTTTCTCATAAAGCCTATCAACTTCTCCGAGGACTATGGCCCAGAAGTTCGAGCCAAGATACAAGTAGCAATCTGCTCTGGAAACATTATATCACTTCTTGCCTCTATTGTAGATGTCACAGTTGGCAAAAAGGGATCGCTCCCGGTTCTTGAACAGCTGGATGACTCTTTCCCGGCCTCGTTCAATCTACATTCTCCGGAGAATGACGACACGGAGCGGCTTCTAGATCTAGCATTCCGTATTCGATGTCGTCACGTAGTTGAACTACTAACTGCTGAGTCTTCCGTTGGCCCGTACGAATTGGCTGCCAGTATGTTCTATAGTCAGTTCTCACATGCTCCTGACGGCTCCCAGGTGGCTACCAGCCAAGAACAATACAAACATTTGGCTGGGGTCAATATTAACGAAAACTCCCGCCTCTATGAAAGCTATCAAGCCCGCATCCAGGAGATCATCTCTATTCTTTCTTCCGATGACAGATCCGAAGTGGAATCGCGTCTAGATCAAGATTGCCCCAAGGAACAGCTCTTTAATGACCTCAGATCATGGGGCCTAGATATGTATAAACAACTTAATAATATGCCGACAGATCAGGGAAACGTGGAAGCCGCCAAACCAACAAAAGGAGAAGATGTGCATGCATTAGTAAGACGTGGAGAATCAGAGTCTCTTTTCGTCGACGACAATGAAGAGACTAGAGGGGACTCAGACTCAGACTCTGAATCAGACACAGATGTTGCAGGATATGATAAACTGCCAACCCAGGAATCTAAGTACGTTTGCAGTCGCGTTTCTGGTCCATTCTGAGGTTGTACTAACACCCCGTAGTCGGAATTTCATTAATAGTTCCGCCATCCTGGCCGCCGTGAGGCGGAGCGAGAATCAGCATGTATCAAGTTCTATATCGGTACCGCCTTCTAATCAACAAGCTATAGAGGATAATGGGCAAACGTTCAGTATCAGAGACGCAATCCGCGGCTTAGATCCTAGCCAGGTAATTGGTCGTACGAGGAAACGCCCGGCTCCTAGTGAAGATGATGCAAGCGAAGGCGATGATGACTTTGAAGTAAATACGCAACTTTTTAACGAACCCAGGCGGTCTCGTAACGAAGATGCAACTGTTCAAAGACCACCTTCTAAACGCCCCCGAACCTTGGAACAACCTCAGATTGTGCGTCGCCAGCAAGTTACTAAGGAACGGCCGCGGAGCGATATATTTGAAGACCTTGATTTACAGGAACGAGATATTGTCAGGTTAACTCAGGAGGCCCGAGATGCTCGACGTGCGACCTATGTGAACAGGGCCAAGCCCCGGCAAGTTCGCGTACCGTGGTCCTTCTCTGATACCTCCAAACTCTTGGACCTAATCGCCGACCGATCCATAAATTGCTCATGGAGTACCATTGCGAGAATAGGCGATTTCGAAACCCCACGAAACCAGCAACAAGTACGTGATAAGGCTCGTGGTCTAAAAGTTTTGTACTTGGAAAGTGACCGGGTTTTGCCGCTAGGTTTCGATCAAGTTGTTCTAGGCCAGAAAGAAAAGGCTGCAGTCATCAAGTGTGGCAAGAACCCTGATCGGCAAGAAGACGACCTAAACGAAGATGGCGAAATTACCAATAATATATGGATTGGTTGAGACTAGCCTAGGCAACTTGCTACATCTTTATATAATTTTTTTTATTTTAGAGGTGCGCCCACTATATTCAGTCTGGGTTAGGGAGTGGGAGGTTTATTAGGTGTATTCTTTTTCGTTATTCTATGCGTTGCAGTCATCTAAATGGCGTTTCAGCAGATAGATACCCCGTTAGACTAGCTTTGGCCTGTAATAAGGAATTAACCCTTTAATGCTTCTTGATAACCATACCCCTAGTCGCTTGTTAGTCGTGCTTCACCGTCCGTCTCATGCTTTCATGGATAGCGACGGTCCAAGGAGGATTCATAGGCTTGCGGATACAGTATTTCCCAAACTCGGCGACGTGGGTTGCTACTGCAATTCGGTCGTCTTATCCATAAACAGGTCTCAGTTCTTTCAACATTACTCTAAACAACAATTGCCGGTAGTTTATTTTATATATATACGCCAGACAATAACAAGCGGAGTTAAGCAGGAAGTCCGAACTAGGCATAGTCGGTTACATGTAGGCTAGCAAAATAGCAAACCTCGTTCTCGCATTCTGGGACCCTGGGTAGTATCGGATTCGAGAATCTGGAATTGATCCATGACGTATCAGCATGAGACTACAGAGTACCAGAGTAGCAGATCTCACATGACAAAAATTTAATAGCCGCTGTAGCAGGAGCCAATAAGGTTGTGTATAATTTACCTAAGGCTCGATTTTGTGGAGTGCTTTAGCAGGTTGGGCAGCTATCAAAAGTTTTTTATTTCTTTCTCTTCTGGTTTGTCCGAGCTTGTGGTTCAATATGTACGGACTGCAGGTAGGTTAGTACGTACTTGCCTCCGGTCTGAGTCACCCGACGCATAGGGTACTTGCCTTTAGTAGTACAGAGTAGCGTGATAATAAAGTACTGACCTACGAGTCTTAAGGAAAAGGGAGGCACAATAGATAGGTACATGTATGTACATAATACATGTGTTGAAGCAACTGTAGGTAGGAAGGCTCAAATAGTTTAGTATTTATTTACACGTAATATCCAATTCTGTAGATTCCAATGGAAGTAACTCCCTCTCTCATTGAGATAAACTAAATCTACTACCCTTTGGCACTGTCCTGACTGCGCCTACATGTAATTGCTCGTTCAAAGTGGTTCGATATATTTATTCATATTGACCTGGAAATGGGTAGTCCCAACAGTAAAGAGTACCTCAACCTACACGCAATTGGATAGATGCATACATATAATTGAAGGCGCTTAACCTTAGATATCCACCAAAATTGAAACCACAAGACGTACCCCGTATGTATAGAAGTAGGTACTTGATGAGCCACTATAGCTGGAGGTAGTCACATACATAGTACACACACGGTATGTTTTAGCTTAGAAAAATTTGAGCCAATAGATAGCTACATTAGCGTTAGGATACGAGACCTAAATACCGTACTTTTACAGTAAGTAATAAGCCAACCGTACTTTTACCGTTTAAGGTTTTAATATTATTTGAATTTATAAACGTTTTATTATAATTTTCGTTATATATATAATTGGTATATTTTTGGTTGGTTATTTAAACGGTTTATATATTTACGAATGGTTTTTTTTAACAAATGGTTTTTTTACAATTTTAATACGGTCCGGGAAGGTGTAATTTAAATATTTATTAATATAAAAAAGTCGCAAATGCCACTTTATATATTTAAGTAATTATAGGTTATACGCGCTTATATGTAATAATGTATTTAAATAATAACTTTGTAGCCGTAGCCGTAACTTATTTAAATGTAAAATAATGTTTATTTTAATAATATTATAATTTAATTACTTATAGCTTTTTGACTTAAAGTAAATACGTATAATAATATTTATTTATATATAAGTATAAATATATTTTTTTTATTTATTACACTTTTTCGGACCGTATTAAAACCGTAAAAAAACCGTTGGTTAAAAAAAACCATTTGCAATAAAAAAACCGTTGATTTAAAAAAACGTTTAACCTTAAAAATACCGTTATAAAGTAATATCGTTGGTAGATTTAACTACCGTTTTTTTTTCGTATTAAAATGCGCAATTATTTAAACAATTATACCGTGAATATACGGTATCAATACGGTCTTAAGGTCTTATATACTGACGTTAATGTACGAACCTTAAAGATTACTTAGATTAGGTACAAAGTACAGTAGGAAAAGGAAAAATATCAAAGAAAAAAAATTCAGTTTGTGAATTGGGAAGGAGGGGTGCGCAAGCAGGAAGGGCCTAAGGAGGGGCAATGCCCCCACAATCAGAAATCTACCTTAGCCACCGTCCGAAATAATTTATAAACCCCTACACACCCTCGCCAAACACTCTTCTGAGTTTCCTTTTGATCTTCGTCTCGCACACCGTTAATCAGAAGCATTAACACCTGCTGAACGTGAGAACCCCCCCTTTCCCCTTCCTTCTTCCATCAACAACTTCATCTATCCTATCTACCACTACAAGACTGCTCATACGATCAGTAAACTAACCATCATCTACGCAGTTTTCGTGTCTCCCTTCATCACACAAATAGAAATCAGCAAGCTTCTACCGCCAAAATGGGGTATGTAGAAAAACTCTATCGCGCTCTTCACGAAGCGCCTCGTTGCTAACAACAAACCTACAGTAAGGAAGACAAGATTCACATCAACGTCGTCGTCATTGGCCGTAAGTTTCCTGATTAATTTCTACGCGCATCATGGCAGATTATCTAACTGGTCATTTCAGACGTCGACAGTGGCAAGTCCACTACTACCGGCCACTTGATCTACCAGTGCGGTGGTATCGACAAGCGAACCATCGAGAAGTTCGAGAAGGTTAGTAATATTTCATTGTTTACATTTATCGCGTTTGTAAACCACGCTTGAATCGACAAGAGCTCTTAGGACTTGAAGTTCTTGCTGTTTCGCTTCAACCGCGTGCCCCTCCTCTGTCACGACTCAACCCCCACCGAGGGGCACAAAATTTTCCCTACCCCGCTCTGACGTTCTGCACAACATTTTGGTGCACGGAGCAACCAGCCCTAGACATGCCAAGCGATATCAAAAAAGCATCCACTGACCCACTCAATAGGAAGCCGCTGAGCTCGGCAAGGGTTCCTTCAAGTATGCCTGGGTTCTTGACAAGCTAAAGGCTGAGCGTGAGCGTGGTATCACTATCGACATTGCCCTCTGGAAGTTCGAGACTCCCAGATACTATGTCACCGTCATCGGTATGTTCCCTCTCCTACACTAGACCTATTGAACTTCGCCTAGATACTAATGTTGTCTTTGCTTAGACGCCCCCGGTCATCGTGACTTCATCAAGAACATGATTACTGGTACCTCGCAGGCCGACTGCGCTATCCTCATCATTGCCGCTGGTACTGGTGAGTTCGAGGCTGGTATCTCCAAGGATGGCCAGACCCGTGAGCACGCTCTGCTCGCCTACACCCTGGGTGTCAAGCAGCTCATCGTTGCCATCAACAAGATGGACACTGCCAAGTGGGCTGAGGACCGATTCAACGAAATCATCAAGGAGACCTCCAACTTCATCAAGAAGGTCGGCTACAACCCCAAGACTGTTGCCTTCGTCCCCATCTCCGGTTTCCACGGTGACAACATGTTGGCCCCTACTGCCAACGCTCCTTGGTACAAGGGCTGGGAGAAGGAAACCAAGGGTGGCAAGGTCACCGGTAAGACTCTCCTTGAGGCCATTGACGCCATTGAGCCCCCCAAGCGTCCCACAGACAAGCCCCTCCGTCTCCCTCTCCAGGATGTCTACAAGATCGGTGGTATTGGAACTGTGCCCGTCGGCCGTATCGAGACTGGTATCATCAAGCCCGGTATGGTCGTCACCTTCGCCCCCGCTGGTGTCACCACTGAAGTCAAGTCCGTCGAGATGCACCACGAGCAGCTTGCCGAGGGTGTCCCCGGTGACAATGTTGGCTTCAACGTGAAGAACGTCTCCGTCAAGGAAATCCGACGAGGAAACGTCGCCGGTGACTCCAAGAACGACCCCCCTTCTGGCTGTGATGACTTCACTGCCCAGGTCATCGTCCTCAACCACCCCGGTCAGGTTGGTGCTGGTTACGCCCCTGTTCTTGACTGCCACACTGCCCACATTGCCTGCAAGTTCGCCGAGCTTCTGGAGAAGATTGACCGACGAACGGGTAAATCCGTTGAGAACAACCCCAAGTTCATCAAGTCTGGTGACGCCGCCATCGTCAAGATGATTCCCTCCAAGCCTATGTGCGTTGAGGCTTTCACTGACTACCCTCCTCTCGGTCGTTTCGCCGTCCGTGACATGCGACAGACCGTTGCTGTCGGTGTCATCAAGGCCGTCAACAAGAGCTCCAAGAGCGGCAAGGTCACCAAGTCCGCCGCCAAGGCTACTGGCAAGAAATAAGCACGCCAATCACAACTGGACTGCAGCCGCGGGGATGTAATGTGTCTTCGGCTGGTTAGCGGCCATGGGCCCTTGACGACACGACTATGCCTCTACGAATTTCCTTTGCTTTTGACACGATCTGTTCTCTCGGACATTTGATACCGAGCGCAGTATGAGAGGAAGGGTTATGGGCATTTCCGCGACAAAACTTTCTCATCATGTGCTTGTAGTAAAATAGAGTCATAGACCGTGACCCCTCTTATTTATGCTGTGATTGTGATGTGTCGTGTCCCTAAAGTGATTATAAAACTCTGCCTTACTACTTCACTCCATCTCTCCCTAATTAAATTCTTCGACTCCTATTTTGTCAATCGTGTGTTCACGCTGGAAGCTTCCCTATCCCTTCCGTAACATGATTGATCACTTAAGAGACATACCAGTATAATTGCTTGATGAAGATTTGGTATATTAAATCATCATTACTACGTCAACGATATCATGGTTGGTGTTTTTTAATCAGTCTTCATATTTGACATGATAATTCGGAAACGTAATATTTTAGGACTACCTGCTTATAAAACTGACGTGCCGGCTATGCTCGCTATGAAGATTGCAATGTTCTACCTATACTTGGGTAAGGTAAAGAGAGATTTTGCGTGTAGCTTTGGCTGCTTACGAAACAGTAGAAAGCATGAAATCTTCATAAATGTATAGTATATTACACACAATAGTTTGCAGCTAGGTGATCAAACCCCGTAATTTACATGCTATGTAATCCTGACCACAGCACATCAGTGCTGGCGAGTTTTTGGCAGGCTGCTAAGAAGCTATCGTGATATCTACGCGCGCCTCCCTTAGGGGGATCAGCGCTAGTTTCAGGTTCCAAGGTAACTTCCGCTCTCCGCCCGCTCTCCGGTCCTGCCTCTATAGACGTATATGATAATTTGAATCCTTCATATGGCATTGATATGGAGCGATGAACCTCTAGACTTGATAGCGTATACTCGGTATCGAGGTTTCGCGGTGTTCCGGATTCGGGGCTGGCTGTAAATGCGGTGGGGCCGCCGGAAAAACGCCGCATGGCTGGATACCAGAGGACGGAGAACGACTGCTTTGGCGGTGTCTTGAACTCGCCGCGCTCTAGGTCGAATTGCGATGACCTGAGAAACGTGTTCAACGGCTCCCAGGAAGCGAGCTCGGCAAGTTCGCCCTCGGGCACCGCGTACTGGGCCTGCGTGAAGCGTAGGTCAACGAGGGACGCGGGGAGCATGACGTCCGTTACTTGTGTTCGCTTTATAGCGCGGAAACTCTCGATGCCATTTATTTCATTGCCAGATACTGCGAGGCGAAGCTCGAGGAGAGGCGCGGGAGGAGTGGTGACGCTAGGTACGCTAGGTTTGGCTTTCCGCTTCTTTTTTTTGCTTTCGTTGTGAGTGGGCTCGAGGGTGGGCGTCGGCCAGAATCGGATAACCACTGATGTTCTTGTCTTGACAGGCGATTGGGTCCCGTTATTAAACTTGGTAAGCTGAATAGCATGCGGCGTGGCGGCGGCGAATACTCGGAGGTGATTGGCAGTCAAGAGGTCAGGTAGACTGGGAGGCGAGGCAGAGGGGTTGTTCGCGTGTAGCAAAGAGCCAAACTGCGCTACAGTTGATACTTGGGACTCTTTCGTCCATTCCACGCTATTGTAAGGGGATAGTAACACATCCGATGAAGGCATATCGAGCCCATTGGAAGTGGGCAATTCGGGCTGTGGTGTAATGGGGAGCGCAAGTCTGTCAAGTCGTTTCATTACTGCTGGATCGCTGTCTTCGGATGCCACTGGTAGTATGTAACGAGCCCACGCACCCGTTCTGTCATTCCATCCCAGTTTTTCTTTGTTTGCAGTATTCATAACAAACCTGCCCGTAGCCTGACTTTTTGAGTCTGCTGCCAAGAGAGTAGCTGTCGTTGCTGGTTGTGGGTTGAAAGCGGTAAGTAGCAGACGGAAGACTTCATCGCCTGGAGATCTTAGGCCTGTAAGACCTTGCGAAGTATGTTCTTCGGATTCCATCCAAGTTACGTAAAGCTGCGTAAATATAGTTAGTATAGGTACGAGAAGTATTATTTGAAAGGCTGCTGGCTCACCAGTCTGGTACTCTGGTTTATCCTAACATGTGTATTTGTGATACGTCCTACTTCTTCTAGTACCGCTTCATCGAGGGGCTCCGAGGCGATGAAGTCGACCGGATAGCTTGCGTCGGTGATATGTTTGAGTGTCTTGGCTAACCCTTCTACTAATGTTGAAGCCTTTGTTTTCGTCGCCACGATGCGTATAGTCTTTTTACTCCGGAATGCCTCGATCTTCTCTCCAGGGTCTAGCAATACGTGGTCCATGAATGTCATCCATCGCCGAGTACCACCTATTGGGAGATTAGCGAGACTTGCTCTTGAGAGGGAAGTATAGGCGACGGACATACGCATGAGCAGAAGAAACCTAGAATTTCGAACCTTGATGTTTATTTCACCAAGGCCAGCATCGAGCTCTGCAATCGAAAGACCCCAACATCCACGCATGATTTGTAGTGCGAGTTCCTCCTTTGGAGTGGTCGACTCCGTTGTGTATCCATGCAGGCTAATATTACCATCTTCCACGGGGTCTGAATGGGGTTTTAATGGCACCCATGGACTGATTTCTCTGACCCAACTATAGCTCCTGAAGGCAATCGACGTTGTATTTACCCCACCCGGCTTGTGATGCTCGAGATAATCATGAAGCTGGCCAGTCAGAAAGCCGCTCATCAGCTCGGCTTGCAGCTTGCGGAAGTCCCTTTCCGGCATGGTAGTATCTAATTTTGGTTTTAAATTATGAATATTGTCACGGACCTCCTCTGCGGTTGGCGTTTCTCGCTGGAGGTTGAGTAGAGCTTCGAGATTGGCAGGCCGGTTGTCGGGCTTAGCGTCGGAATCATCAGGGGCAGAGGGATTGTATTTTCTTCGACGCAGGCCTTTGTCCCTCATAATAATCACAGAGGCAGGCTTGCCTAGCATATCGGTACCAAGACTCCCTGAATCCTCCATGAGGACGCGATCGCGAGAAAGACGCCTCTTGTGGAGGGTCAAGGTCTTAGTGGCACGTCCTGCGCCATGTTCGCGCTTCCTATCTCGCGCCTTATTTTTATTTTCCGGATTCACGTCCTCATCTTCGGGGGCTAAATCATCGTCGAGGGAACGGGCGGTCGAGTCTCCATGAAAGCGTCGCAGGGTTGGATGCTGGGTTCTAGTAATGCGACTGCAGCTGATGCGACTGGAGGCTTGAAAAGGCTGAGCGCTCCGATGAAGAAGACGCAGTCGGCATCTTAGACAGATTGCGCCGCTAGTCACTCTGGTGGCTAGCATGGAGAAGGAATAAAGAGATCCTCTAGGCGACTAACAGGCCAAAATATTAATAAATATTAATATATAGGCCAATCTCTACTAGAGAATATAATATCGTGGATAATAAAAGACTCTAGATAATAAAATATTTCGCTCCAACTTTTTTAGTCTACTTCTTAATCGGGTAATCAGCTTTAGGATGTGCATCCTAGTTTATCGATTGATAGCGATAAGTACTATCGATAAAGTTGAAGTGGGATCTCTCGAGTCTCTACGCGTACAGAAGTAAAACGCGTCTCAGTCAATCTCCCCCGCCGAGCTCGTGAGTCGTAACATTTAGGAGTGGATCCTACCTAACCTAAGGCATCTTGCATTCCATAGTTTTACACACATTTATACACACATTTATTTATACACACGTTTACAAATTAGAGTATACTCTTCACATCAGTATCTACAGACTACAGCTATGCCTCCACAAACCCAGACCCAAAGACGGCGGAAAACAGGTAATAACGATAATGCCAACGAAGCCCGACGGCGTCGCCAGTCTCGACACAAGCACGAATCGGACGATTCCGAAGCCTCTGAAGAAGATCAAGATGGCGATGTCGATATGGAGAGGACAGGAGACGCAGACGACCAGCTAGTCAAGAAGCTGGTTCGATACGCCCTAGCATGTGAATATGCGAGGATACCCATTAAGCGAGACGGCATTCGAGACAAAGGTAAGTTAAGTCTACTCAAGATACCCAGCCTGCAGTTCTCCCTTTTCTAAAAAAGCTACACATAGTTTTGGGAAGCAATACGAGATCGTTTAAGCGCGTGTTTGAGGGGGCACAAGCTCAGCTTCAACAAGTCTTTGGCATGGAGATGGTGGAATTGCCCGTCAAGGAGAAGCGTACACTAAAGGAGAAGCAGAGTAAGGATTGTACAACGGCGTGCCTTGTTATCTTTTACTAACTAGTTGACATAGGGGCGAACGCTAGGAAAGCGGCTTCCCACAGCACCGCATCCTCCAGACAATACATATTGGTCTCGACCCTGCCACTAGAATACAAATCGCAGTCCATCATCGCCCCGTCACGAATACCGAGCACATCCGAAGAAGCTGCATACGTCGGGTTCTACACTATGATCATCTCGTTAATTGTCCTCAATGGAGGAGAGCTGAGCGATACGAAGTTACGACGATACTTGACTCGCCTGAATGCCAGCCAGAACTTGCCCATGGACAAGACCGATAACGTGCTACAGAAGATTGTGAGGCAGGCCTATGTCGACAAGGTAGTGGAAAAGAGCGACGGCGACGAGGATGCTGTAACTTGGTGTATCGGATCCCGGGGGAAAGTCGAGGTTCCACCTGAAAGTATTGCTGCTGTGATCACAGAAGTCTGGGGCGAGCTTCCGGATGATTTCCACACGAAATTGCAGAGGAGCTTGGGAATACAAGAACCTCAACAAGGCTATGATGAAAGTGCCATTCCCGAGGAGTGAGGGATGAGGATTTAAAGGCGCTGTTAGTTCAGAGCCCAATGTACTTGACGATACCCCGTAATGAAACCACATTTCACATGAAATTATTTCTGATATGACCACTGTAGGCATTTGGAATCTAATGCCCTGTACGTAGTAGTCTTTATCCTTTATTACTCGACCAGAATCTGATCAAGATCCTTCCATTGCCCTGAACTGTCTGATCTAGACGGCGCATCGGTCGTTTGGCGTTGTTCAACAGCTACAAGTGCAGACTGCAGCGCCCCGACCAACTACGCCGTAACTCTTCATATTAATTATGCCCGCGTATGGGTTCTTCGCCTTCACGAGGAGGAGGAGGACCACATGGCTGTATCATCTTTCGTAGAAGCTGGGCTCGAACTTTGGCGGCGGGTTCGTTTTGCGCGAGCGAGATGTAGGCTAATTGCGAAGGGTGACCGACGAGACTCGAGTACGTGTCGCGCGCGACGTTGGTTCTCCATTCCCACGATGTCGTGTCTGGGTGACCGGTGCCGATGTACTTGGCTTGAAGTCGCTCAAGCTCCTGCTGGGTGCGTAGTTTGTCCGCCTGTATGCTGTTAGCTTTTGGTACTTTGATGCTTAATCTAGTCAATCTGACATACCATATCAGTAGGTTTTTTATTGAATATATGTCTAGCACCGTATAATTTAGCCTGTTCTAGTAGACAAACTAGTAGGAAATGCCGAAATTATTTAAGTCGCCGGAAGTCGAGGAGGCAAGTTGTTGCTGTAACCGCGAAATAAACTAGAGGTACCTAGGTAAATATGGTCTGAGCGCCCCTTGCAGCTTTTAGTCTGTTTTCAGACTGTTTAGTTACATGTACATGATAGCTGACCCAGTAATATGTATCTAGGGAATTCCTCGGTATTCCCTGATAGGACGAAGGGTGATAAGACGCAATAAAATCAAATCGAATAACGAATCCGCGTGGTGCAGTGGTTAGCATGGTGCTGTAAGTCAATCAAACATGTCTCAGTTTACTTCGTAATACTTACTAACATCAACAAAACAGCTTATACTTTCTCGTATTGAGATATGCATAGGTCGTGGGTTCAATCCCCACCGTGGATATTTAATTTTTTCTCTATTTCAAGAGAAATAAGATTTTTTAATTCTTACGTTTTACTAATTTTATCACTCATGCAATCCTACTTCATAATACCGAGTCTATCAAGTAGCAACGGAGCTGCCAAAAAATATTTCTTATAATTAACGGATGTCGCAATGTAGTTAAACTCAACAGTATTCTTTCGACATTGTACATTTATCTCACATATTCCAAGTATCTTTTTTTTGCTGCTCTTATGGTATTCATAACGAAAGATAGGCATATTAATTCTTGTGGTTCGAATGCTAACAGCGCTTCCCATTTTCTGACTTCGAGTCTAAAAGTAGTCCAATTATAGATGCACATCTCGTTGCCGCTACCATTCGACTCAGGAATACCTCCACGATCCTTTCTGCAAGACATTATTTACTCTGTCTGAGCAAACGCTCTCGCTTTCTTTTGGGAGCCCTTGTAGTCTCTTTATAATCTACCAACATTGGGAAGAGGAAGTCTTCAATGTTTACAGAAGAGAGGAATGATATTTTGTATGAGACTAGAATTGACTCGAATTGCATTAATTCTCCAAGCGGTTAGTTCGTAAAGATCTGTATTAAATTGATGCAAAATATATAAAGTTCAATGTTGCATAGAGCTTGGGCATAAGGCTGCAGGTTCTAGATATGTACGTACCTTATCTAGATGTGGATAAGAATACCTAACCCAGGCCAGCTTGGGGTTACTTCGATGGCTCGTACCTTTTAATGTTCCAATTAGCACTTAGCACTACACTGCATCTAATACATCTAATACACCAAGTACAAATGCGCGTCGCATATGTGTCTACATGTATAAGTAGATTATCACACTAAGCTTATACCCATACTTCGGATGGTAGATTTCCACACGTTCCATAAACAGCCTACCGTCTCCATTGCGCATAAATCCTGGCTGCCATTGGCCTTGTTTCGGAAATCACCAGGCACTTTCAACGCGGCATAGTCGTTTTTATCACGATACGGGGATATAGTAGAGCTCTATGAGACCCAAAATTTCTTAGCCTCTATATAATAGTGGGATTCGCGATTGCGTGTCTGAAAATATGCTAGAGCCATGGGATGAAGCTATCGCCCTTCAGAAGGAGCGTCAGTTTTGCGCCGATGATGTACAATCTATTAAAACGTCCTGTGCCAAGGATCATGGCAAGAGGCATCCTATCGAGTGTCCAGATTGTTGGACCCGTCTCCTTAACCGCATAAGGGATCGATATCTCAACTCTGCTTCTAAGGAATGGTTTTCTGGCCGGCGGCCGTTTCTACTCGAGCTTGATACTATGTTTTCTAAAGCTCACAATTTTGAGGTCGATCTCAAGACTATTGAGCAGCGCATAGTTGACGAGAAGAAAGAGTGGTACCGAGACAAAGTAAAAAACATAGGACTTCAACATATTACAAAATCCCCAGCCGAGGATCGAATTCTACAACAAAAGATCAACGACCGGAGCATATCCGCAGATCAGCTTGCTTCAGAACTGAGAGCGTCCTTTAGCGACGGCGCCGTCAAGAACCAAGAAGCATTCGACGAATTTATAGAACGGCTGAAACATGCTAACCTACCCCAGACACGGGTCGAAGCCTACATTGATATATTTTTTCAACCCGCTCACGACCCTTCGGGTGCAGCAAAAGCTCAGAAGTACATCGATATGGTTAGAAATGGGACGTCAATTGCGGATACCATCAGTGTCATGATCCGTGACCGGCATTTAGCTAAGGGTGACCAAGATCAGAAGCAGGCACTTCATAAGCAGCTCGAAGAACTGAAGAGGGCTAAAGCAGCACACGAACTGGGTAAAGCGAAGAGCGATAAGGCACAGCAGGATAAGACCAGAGAAACAGCACTCCCTGATGATCAGCAGTCCCTACCGCCGTGTTCGGTATGCTCGAAAACCCCATATGCGCAAGACTTTATTATATGTCCCCTATGCCAAATTCTGGGCGATTTTTATAGACTTGGAGTCGGGCCTACTGTCTTCTGTTCTCAGAAGTGTGCAGACGAACGCTATGTAAGTTGTTCTCTCCCTGTGATAGTCGCGAATGAATTCTTACTGTTGATAGGAAGCACATGTTGAAGCAAGACATGAGTGTGCATCCGGCCAGAGATGTGTCCTCCTCCACGACGAAGATGTCGAGATGGATGACGGAAGAACTGTTTTAGTCTTCTGTCAAGAGTGTGTAGAAACGCTCGGCATCCCATCCGTGTTTTGCTCGGCTCGCTGCTTTAACGAGAACTTTCAGCGTCATCGCGACGGTGTCCATATTCCCCGGCGGAAGAGTACTCAGCATGAGGTTAAAGATGAAAATCAGCTTGAATTCGACCCGGAAGATAAGACGAGGTATAGCGCTAGAAAGATCGAAGAGCATCTGGTGACATTTGATAATGCTATAGCAGAATGGCAGCAGAAAACAAGCGCTACAGTGAAATAAGGGCTACGAATGTATAGTAGGAACTTCTTCTCTTCTTGTACTTGTATGGATTAAGGACGAGACCGGCTGAATGTAGAAGGGTAACAATGCATATAAAGGCCAACGGCCTGCATCGTACCAGTCCATGTTGAACATGGCTAGCGTGGATGGATGTAAATATACCTATTATAAATATAATAGGTTGCGAGCCATGTACTGCGCTGGTATTCCGAAGTTGCACAGTCTTAATGGTGTATGTAAAAGTGACCTTGTAAATACGTAATACCTAAAATACCTAAATGCCCCGCAGTCAAAGTTACATAAGCTTTAATATCTCCGAGGGGTTATTTGATTTCAGTTGGAAGGCCGAGACCTAAAGCTTTCCGTGCTCGGCGCCGATTGTATTTTTGGCCGAGCAAGTACATAAACTGACCAAAAAAAAGCTACTAAAGCTATCGCCGCGACAATATCGCTATCGCAATCGGCATTTTACCATCAGCTACACAGTTGAAAAGCCAACGTCTCCATAACACCTCCAACTTCTCCTAGATAAACTATATCGGTCATATCTAACTACACCAACCTGCGATCCGATCTAGCGCATCAACTATGTCCATGGTCTCAGCCCTGAAGGGCGACTTGCCGCAGCAAGCTCGATCATTGGTGAGATCTACTCTTGCTATATCCAACCATGTGCTGCACTATAGTGCGCCGACATTCACAAATCCCAAGCACACGCACTCTATACTCCGTAGTCATGAGCTGGGCTAATATGTACTGCTTTGCCATCTAGTACCGCCAGCTGCTGCGTCAAGGCAAGCAGTTTGAGGCCTACAACTTCAGAGAGTACGCGAAGCGCCGAACGAGAGACGCATTCCGAGAGAACGCGGGCGTACAGGACCCTAGAGAGATACAGACACTCATACAGAAGGGACTAAAGGAGTTGCAGATGATGAAGGTACGGCATCTATATATCTCGCAGCCGGCTGAAGGGTCATTTCGACGACAAGAGGCAGTGTAGCACGGCGTGATGAACAGTTTAGCTAACGAGTCTATTTTCTCTCACAGCGCCAAACGGTCATCAGCCAATTCTACCAGATAGATCGGTTAGTAGTGGAGGGCGGAATATCGGTATGTTTCCTAAGAGCCTTAATATTTGTGCAGTCATATACAGTTGCTAATAACCTACGCCAACAGGGTAAGCAAAGCGGAAAGTCCGGAGATATTTCGCGGCAGAAGGATACAGGGTGAGCATATCAATGTTATGCTGCAAACTAGGTAACAGCGGCTAACCTTTATAGATGGGATTAATACCACCCTGTGCGATGCTTTAGACTATCCGCAATAGGGTCACCTCGTTCTTCTCATGCGTCTCGCCTCTACTATACGAGACGTACCAGCCCTGTACCATTAAACTTCATTGTACATCAAGCGCGCGGTTGAATTATAGGCTTGCGGCGTCCGCTCTCCTAGTTCGTAGGAGTATCAAGTCTCATTAGAGCAGGGAGAAAACGGAAACGGGATCAGGTTAGAATTTGGTACGCATGAAACGGGGTATAAAAGTATGGCCTACGAACAAGGCAATGTGCGGTACGGCAAGGAGTACCAAGGTCATCTCACATCATGATATCGAATGCCAATTCTGCTCAAGTTGCCTTATATGAACTTACGAGTGATAGTTCGCCAGTATGTATGTATCTAGGCTTTCTTGCCAAGCTAGCAGAGACCATTCGGATATCCGCTGTATAGCAATCAATACACTCCTCATTTAAGGCAGAACATTCTAACTAGAGACTGGCCATCCTGTCTTTGTCATTCCCTTTTGACATAACAAATTACTGCTGTCTGTATATATTAATTAAACTTACGTTTAAACAAGAAGCATTCTGTTCGTAATCAACAGTTAGATAGATAGGTCTAGATAGTACTTACTAATCGATCCATCACCACATAAACCTATATCTACCAAGTATAATAGAGACACGTCCTCCACGAGTAAATTTATTGTCTTCACATATCATTTAATCATTTAAGGTGCATGCAGACTGGTCAGAAAGCAACCCCCTTGAAAGTATAAGAAACCCGACTGGCTTTAACGATGAATTCGGGATTACTATGGTTGGTTCGCACTACTAGATATCAAGCCTTCATAATGAGAGCATAAAGAAAAGAGAAGAATGAATGCAGAAAATAAATATTTTTGAACCCCGCAAGCATGAGGTAGCAATATATTTCAAAGATTGACTGACGCAAGTTGTGTTGGTATGCATCTAAGTGTTTGACAAAATTGAAATGTGGCCAAGCACGAACTGAACGCCTAGTTTTACATGTTGGAATAAATATTAGAGTTTGACGCTTTCTTTAAGCTTAAAAGGTCTAAAATGTAGACCGCGGCAGGTGCGAATCGAACACACAACTTTTCACATGTTGGAGTGTAGTTTGACCTCAGTCTAAGACAACTTCAACAAAAAATATAGAAAAAAATCATCTACCCTTCACAAGCTTGAAGGGTAGCAAAAGGTAAGATGCGGTGAGTGCGGATCGAACGCACGACCTTCAGATGTTAGAATGAAGTTGGACTTCAGTCTGACGCTCTCCCAACTGAGCTATCCCCGCTTGATATTTTTGGTGAGGTTTTATCTAGTCTATCAACCAAACTTGATTTGTCGCATCGGGGATGGTTGGATCTCTTGAGTTGTATTCCGTAGTGCTCTGGCCTTCTGTTTGTCAGCCTGCCAGAGTACATTGGTACATGTATAAGTGGGGCTCTTAGTGGGTACATTGTACCATATGTACCTAAGAGAGTTTAGATCATTGCAAGTTATGTAATGTTGCTTAGTCATAAGCATTTGTTGCATTTGTTATTGCGTGTTCTCAGACTCTCACCTGCGCAACGGCGTAGCCATTTCTGTTCTCCGTTGCATGCAAGTCAACTCTCTTGGATAGGTCCTGATACTTCTTGCATCATCCTCTCCCGCCACTGGCTCGCCAATCACCCTTCGTACAGATACTGGAGATACTAGAGATAAACATTTAAACTATTAGAATCTCCAATTTATTCGGCAAAGACCGAGAACCCCCCGAATAGCGCGTAGCTTCTTAATGGCTTCAAATGGCTCCTAATGTACCAAGATCCTGTACCCTTCAAGTCACTATTATTAAGCCTAGCTAATAATATATCTATTATAGTTTCGTCCAAATACCCAAACGCGACGTGGAAATCGTAGCGGATATGTAGAACATGACGATTTTGAGGGTATGGTTTGCTTCCTAGTCCTCTATAGCATGTCGCACGTCGCATGATGACAACAGCTGACCTCGTTTTCAAAAGGTTTGCCCGTAAGACAATGGCGCCAGGAATGGGTCAAGATTGGACCACCTCCGCCCACAGACACAACTCAGAAGAACGACATATGGGCAATCGAACTTCCACATGGCATGCCGAAAGATTCGCATTTGCTGCCCACGCACACTCAAGAGCTGCTAAGGGCAGCTCGCTCAGGGAGGCTGTACAAGCGGCCAGCGCCCGCGGAAGAAGAGGAGGTTGACCCCGATGCTGCCCTAGCAGAGAAACCAGAGAAGAAGGAGGAGGACCCAAGCATCAAAGGCTATCGAGTCAAAGTTTGGAAGCAGGTCGCCCGTAATGCCGAGGGTACCGCCGTCTCCCACCTGGCTAAACGAAGGAAGGGAGTTATCACCCTATCATCCAGCCTTCCGGCTGGCCCGTCATCTAGTCCGATTATAATGAAAGCTACCGTCCGCCGCATCGACGCCGCAGGAAACCCTTACACGCAAGAAATTACATTAAATGAAGGCCAGCCGGTGGATGGGGAGATTATATCGACTACGGTAGTTCCAGCGCCTAATGCTACTGCAAATGGCGAAACATCTGTCGCTGCGACTCCGGTCCGAAGACGGCCGCCACCGCCCAAGAGAAAGCCTAAGGGACCTGGCCGAGGACGGAAGAAGAAGCTGCCTTTGCCAACAAACACACGCCCTGAAGCGACCAATACAGGCGTGGATACTACTACGGATGGTACTAAACTCAATCTTCCAGAATCTGATGTAAGTTAGCTTCGGTCAGTCATATCACCACGTACTAATTGTTGTTAGAATACCAAACAAGACGACCATTCCGAAACCAAAAACCAGGACAGCGAAATGGCCGATGATGATGACGGAGACGACGGAGAAGACGACGGAGATGATGGTGAGGATGGCGACGATGGCGACGAGGAGGACAGCGAAATGCCTGATGGTGAGAACGGGGCGGGTTTTAGAGCTGAAAGTGAAACCAAACCTGATAGCGTCGCTGAAGTTCCTCCAGCAATTACTCAGGCTGAGCCCTCCATCGACACGATACCATCGGAGATCTCGCCCAGTGTTGGGCCGCCGCTAACAAAGGCGCCATCGCCTCCTTCTAATTCTAATTTAAACCCAGTCCAACCTCTTCCGCAGCATGTCCCATCGCAATTCGAAGGAAGCCCGCTCAAAAACGTTGTAGCCGCAACATCACCAGCCGACTTATCGCCGAAACTTCCACCGATCGGAGAAATCGCAAGTATAGTCGCTACGACTGATACCAGGCCGTCGGAAACGTCATTGGCTCCCGTTCCGGCGTTAACTGATCCTATCGAAACGGTTCCTCAGGGAACGGAATCAGCTGCAGCAAAGCTTGAGGTAGACGTGGAGATGACGGATGGTCCTCGCCAAGAGCAGACAGAAACTCTGGTTCCGCCCGTAGTGGAAGAAGAAGCGCAACAGCCGGATGTTTCAGCGGTTAATCCGCTACCAACCGTAAATCCTGTTCAAGGCGAAGATGCTTCTACGCATCGCTCACCACCGCCCGCAGCTATGCTAGAGATCACGAATATCGAACAGCCAATTGAAGAGGTTGTTTCCGAGACAGTTGTGAGCGTGGTTACGAATCAAGAACCACAAGGTCCTGAAGCGGCTCCGGCTCCAGCTCCAGCTCCGGCTCTGGTACTTGCCGATGACCTACCAGCTCCTGGGCCTATTGATACCAAAGCCGAAGGCGCTACCATAGAAGGCGGAGAGGAGAATGAACCCGAGAGTCCTGATCTATTCAGTGGTCTAGAAGCCGCCTTGAATCAGCAAGGCGGGCCAAAGGAGGCTACACCTCCTCCGGAAACGAAGGCAGCTTGATTTTCTCCAGTATATTGTTCTTGAATAACCCCGATGAAACGTATTATATTGATACGTTCCGTTTCCTGGTTATACCTGCGAATAGTGTAAAGTAGCATTGTATATCTAAAGAATTGGGTAAACATGAAGGGATATTTCCGTGTCATACTATTTCTGATCTGATTTATGTTGTTTATGCGTGTCGAATCTTTTGTAATTCAAAGCTACCAAGACTTGGGAGCAGGAAACTCATCTTGAACTTGATAAATACCTACCAATTATTTATATATATGTATACGTATGCATATATATTACATATATACATTCTGTAGTGATATTGGCTCAGCCGATCTTAAGGGTTGCTCTTCCCCCGCACCGATTCTAATCCGGAGGCTGACGCCGATCCGCCCATTCCTGTTTGGTGCCAAGCGCCCGGTAGACACGCACATCTATTCAACCGACAACCATCAATGATCGTATTTTGACATCACGTTGACCTCTTTATTATTTGCGAATTATCACCAGATAGGAAGATTGTATGTCTTTATTCTCAGGCAATTACACGTCATATGTTGGATGATAAGTCAACGTGTGATATAATTGTCAATATAATGCTCTTATAAGTTATTGTTAGTTGGATAATCAACCCCCTAAATATGCTTGCTCACGTCTGAGAGCAGCGTACGCCCGAACGCCGTCGCATTGTAATGAATACCCATTTCTAAATCATCATCCGAGGTTCCGGTCGTGGAAACCATATGCATACACCCTAACTGGCCCGCCGTGAAATGTCTTCTTCCCGCTCCGATTTATATATATAGTAAGTTCCTGTCCCCAGACTCATGCCGTGACCTCCGTCTGCTGCTCCCGCTCAAGACTCTTGAGCGCCGCGGTAAGCCGTTCCTCTTCGGCTTTCCGTTGCATTTCTTGCAGGTACTGCGCGTACCGCGACTTCTTGTTGTGGATTCCACACTCGGACTTCTCCTGGCCCTTCCAGCGGCCCGCGCGCTCGTCTTCGCCCGCAGACACGGGAGATGTCGAGTGCCAGTCGCCGACGGACTTGTACCCGCGGTCTAGGAGCGGGTTATACGGTACGTTGTTCTCTGTGATGTACTGCTTGACCTGGGCGAAGGTCCAGTCGACGAGCGGGTTGATCTTGACGATACCCGCCTCCTCGTCAACCTCCAGCACGCCGATCTTGTCACGCTCGCCGCCTTGCGAACGCCGGCGGCCGGTCAGGACAGCAGCTACGTTGAGGTCCGAGTAAGCGCGCTGTTGCGGCTCGACCTTGGCGATCCAGTCGTATAGTTCGGCGGCGGTCTCGTACAACTTCTCGCCATAGCGCTCCTCGAACTCGACGGTGGTATTGGCATCGTGGGGTTTAAAGGTGTGGATCTTGATGTTGGGGTATCGATCCTTGACTCTTTGAACCAGGTCGTATGTTTCCTGGAAATGGTACAGCGTGTCGAGGAAGATGAGGTCGACGGGCGATGAGTCGGGCGATTCCTTCTCGATTTTTGAGAGCATGTCTGTGGATACTAGGCCGGTAAGGCCGAAGGCTGTTGATTGGTATAGGTTGGGAAATAAGATCTTGACGAAGCGGAGCCGGTCCATGGAATTCATCTTTTCTAGCTGTTGGTTGAGGTGTCTGACGTGTGGTGCGGTGAGCGTCACTTGGGGCAGCTCGCTTGTGGACTCCGCCGTCGACGACGACGCTGAGGCATATCCTGATTCTAGATCGGTTGTGGAGGCTAGGTCCTTGGATGAGTGGCGTGGGGAGGCCCGCTCGACATACGACGACGACCCCATCTTGAATTTATTTTATGAAGATTTATTTTGCCCAAGGGAGGTAGGTGTAAGTCAAGTGGGCAAAGGCTTGAAAGGCTTGAAAGGTTTGAGAGGACTGGCGGTTAGGACAAGACGAGAATACGAATTATACCGCTACGAGACACTGAGAAGACGTTTTGAGAGGTTTAAGGATGATGAGAGAGCAATGATGGAAGAAGAGCAGAGGACCAGAAGAAGGATTAGAAGATATCACTATGGGGAAAAGCGCCAGAGGTGCTGTTCAAGTTATAAAAGGGGACAATGGAAAGAATCTATCCTGTAGACCGAGTCGGTACTTACATACCTACATCTTCTACTATAATTCCCGTAGTAACGTCTAGTCAAAACAGTTACTAAGTGTTATTTGCGTATCATTTCTCCCGTGTCTACATGACTAATCCGGTTCTCGGGATGTCTTTACTTGTTCGTGTGGGAAAAAGCTGTTGCATATGGAGCTGGGGGTATTGCGCGATCTGCTTAGATGAGATTTAACAGGCGGCAGGCCGGAGCCCAAGGGCATCGAGGCGCCTTTAGAAATTTTAGACACCGATCACGACATCGGCGCTAGTGTAGTTGCGACACCTAGCGACAGCACAACCGACCTATTGATTGGCAGAATATTGGGTCCCCCCTTCTTCAAGTTCGACGGGTGAGAAAAGCCGCGGGCGAGTTACCGATACTTCTGGCCTGGTTCGATTTGACTTCCATCTCTTTGTTGACTTGATGTTATGCTCATGTAAGCCCATGTCAGAACTGCTGTACTCTTTACTTTGAACGTTGAAATGCCATGCTGATCTAAGCTCCGAGCTGTGCTTTTTTTCGACGTCACGACTGGGTTTCAAACTGGATCCATCCATGTGGTTTGGTGCCGTTGCTTTATCTCTGCCGGGGCGCTACGGAATGATGCCATCGACTTGACATGGATACTTGCTTGGCTTTCGAAAACCGTTTGACACTTAGCATGATTAGTTAGAATCCGGTGGGTTAATGTTGGACAGAATTTATTGCGTGCTCTCTGCCACGAAGTCACTGTTATTGGTGCGGCCATAGAAGATTTATATATTTGTAGTTATGAGGTTCGTACGTTAAGCACGCAATCATGGGTCTAGATGGTTCAAAATTTATCTACTTCTTCAACAGTATATATATCTGTATGGCTGCAGAGTTATTTGTCGTGCTTGAAATCTACATATCGTGGACGTCCTCTTCCTATTCTCTACATCCCTTTACGTGGTGCTCGGTTATATTAAATGCTACCCAACAGCTGTATAATGTGACAGAGCTACAATCAGTGCGGGCCTATGCAAAGAAGAGTGCTGATAGAGTACTATATCGATCCCTTGAGGCGTAGCAGATGATATCCACCCTTTGGAGGTTTGTTAGAAACCCGATCGATGTGCTTGTCATTAGCATACATAAGATCTACATGATTATTACAGGAGTCTCCCAACTGATCCGGTCATTTCACTCTTACCGCTCCTAACGCCTTACAAAGCAAGCGCTCGAACAAGGGAATGTCACCATCCTTAGGGGATATGGCGAATTGTTAGCGGTTGTCGGAAGGTTGAAAGAAATTATGAAGCTACGAGAAAAAGAAAGTTGAAGAAATCGGGTCTCGGTATGATGTTGTGATGTTGCAATGGTTAAAGAGCCGCTTGAACGGGTCATCGGGGCCGATAGCCGTACCAAGAATTGCATCTTCTCCTTTTAAATGCCGGAGATCATTTATATTTACGGACTAGGCAGGTACTTATTCAGTGTACCAGCTATGTTTAGCTGCACACATACCTAACCTACATAGGTAGGCGATGAGAGGCGATATTGCATCTAGACCCTGAGAGATCTGGGGAATAAGGGGTGCTTACATATGTAATACATACGGCTGGATTAATATATATTATAATATACAGCACACGCGATCCCCCTCCATTTTTATTTATATGTTCTTCTGTCCAACTCCTGAGCAAAAGATTTGTTGAAATGCTTAAATACCTGAAGCGCTACACAAGTGCTCTAAGACAACTTGGGTATAAGTAGTCTGGGGAGGTAGTGAGTGCACAGACTATGTACTTCCTACTTACATAAAATAGCATCATCGTGTTCAACTTTACGGCAGTTCTTCGGCTAGCTGACTCAGCACTTGCGAAGTGGCAGTTAAAACCACCATGTGTACTTCGTACCTCACGGAGCGCGCCGAGGTACTTTCACCTTTCTTCACCTCAACTGACCAATCATATACTTCATACAGACCCAGCCATCAGGAACGGGTCAAGCACAGGGTCAAGCACAGGGTCAAGCACAGGGTCAAGCACACGCGCCTTACGCTAAGCTAAAGCCCAGGTGAGAAAAAAATACCCCGCGCAATTTGTGAACTTCATTACTTGCGAAATATAGAGCCTCAACGTTAGGTATCATTTCCCTACTCGCCTAAGAATTACTCATAGAGAACCTTATACCTAATCCCACAAGTGCAAGTTCATTCCTTATACAATAAAGTGCCTCATCTATTAGTGATCCTATATTCCCCCCTCTATAAATCCGTCATGGCCGCCGACGATAGCCCCACGAAGCAGAACTCGGGTCGGCCGCAGTTGTCTTCTATGAGGACTAGTTCATATCTCAAAGAGCATCAGCAGTACCGTCCTCCTAAGCATCTGGATAGTCATTTCGGTATAGACACCGTCGTCGAAGATTTGCAAAGCCATAGAATTTCTCCTCCCAAATCATTCAGCCCCTTTAATGGTGTGCCCTCCAAGGATGAGCCGCCGCGTATTGTTGAAGGCGCTAGCCACGACTTCACCCATCCTAACTGTGCTCCGCCCAGAGGCACCAAAATAGATCGACTTGTCGCCACTTTGATCTATAAGTCTACGTCGTCACGTACTGCGGTCCCTTCTCCGAGACTTGCCTCGTCCAGCTTCGACATTCCCACAAACCTCGCACCAACTACCAACATTGAGTCATTTCCTCTAGAACCTCCAGACGCCGCCGAACCCGAGCCTCTCGATCATCTTTATGGCTCCTACATATCCCCAATATGTATTACATCTTTTCTCCATTTGATGTCCACCTTCCCCCTACCTCAAGGGGTTAGCGAGGCTACATCGTCTCATCGTTGTCTCGACGATCGGGAGCACCCCCTCGTCGTCGAGTTGACTTTGTCCCCGGTTCCGTGCCCCAACTATCTCCCCTTATCAGACCTGCGGAGGCACGAGCTTATCTACCGATTCGAGAGGGAATGGAACGTCGATGTCGTATTGCAACATGACACACTTTGGCGGCGATATCCGCGTCTGGTCGTTTTCGACATGGACAGCACTTTAATCACGCAGGAGGTCATTGATCTACTCGCCGCGGCCATCACGGATCCTCCGGATCTGGCCGCTAAAGTTGCCGACATCACAAGTCGGGCCATGCATGGGGAGCTGGAATTTGACGCCGCGTTCCGAGAACGAGTTGCTCTGCTCAAGGGGCTCCCAGCCACGATATTCGAGCAGTTGCGTCCAGCGTTAAACGTTACCAAGGGAGTCCCTGAATTGCTGAGAGCATTCAAGAGACTGGGCGTCAAGACTGCTGTGCTGTCTGGCGGTTTCATCCCGTTGACTAGCTGGCTGGCTGGCGAGCTTGGAATTGACTATGCATATGCGAATGAGGTTGTAATCGATGACTCTGGGCGTTTGACTGGCGAAGTCCAGGGACGCATCGTAGGTAGAGAACGGAAACAGGAACTCCTCCTCGAGATTGCTAAGAAGGAAGGAGTCGCACTTGAACAAGTAGTAGCAGTTGGCGACGGTGCCAATGACTTGTTGATGCTCGACACGGCTGGCCTGGGTGTGGCATGGAACGCAAAGCCGATGGTTCAGCTGGAGGCTAATGCTCGTCTCAACAGCGAGAGCTTAGTCGATTTGCTATACATATTTGGACTTACGAGCCAAGAGGTGGATTTGCTGACCGCGTAACCCTATAAGATAGGTACGTCTGCTATATAACTACTCTTCTACTTCGTATACATATATAGATTTGGCCTGGCCTGGCCTGGCCTGATGCCACCTAAAATGCCTGGGAAATCGGAAAGGGGGCTAGGGGACCATTCCATTTCAACGACTTTATCACGATGGAGAGATGACCAGAAAATTATCAGTTCGGATATCCAACGGCCTTTGAACGGGACTAAGAGTATCGTTTGTAGGAGTGATGTAGGTTTTACTATTATCACATTCGTTGATTCCTAAGTCTAGTTCGCCAGAGAATGCCGTATGTAAATGACCTAGACTAAGCTGGGAGTTACACATAACGAAACAGATATATCAAATTCAACTATACGTAAACAAATTGGAATAGTGGAGTTAACTCTTCAGCTCAACAGACGGATTGGTGACTTTGGTGATAAATAATAATAGCTGTCCTAATGCTTGACCTAGGTTATGTACAGTCAATCTAGAAATGACGCATCCTCTTATAGTTCTAATAACCGGAGAAGCGATCCAATATCTTCCCGAAGAATATATCTAGTAGCCCTCCTTACCCCATTTGTTGTACTTTTCGTGAAGGCGCTACGTTCACTCAGTTAGCACAAATTGCCCAAATTGTTATAAGGGCAGATAGGATGATTTGCGCATACCTTTGGTAGGGTGACGTTGGGGATGACGACGACGTTAACGGCGCTGGGGGCGTCCTTCGGGGCGGCAGACGGGTCACCACCCGGGTGGTATCGGTACTTGCCCTCCGCTGCGCCGGTTTCCCAGGGCATGCCCGACTTGGCCAGGCCGACGGGCTCCTCGGATGTGGATTGGGTAGGAGAGCGGCCTGGAGTAGCGTGTTAGATTTTCGAAGCGCAGTTGAGGAGGGGATGAGAGGTAGAGAAGCGCGTACCGAAGTAGAGACCAGCACCACCTAGAGCTAGAACCATCACACCTCCCAGAATCTGTCAATAGCAGAGTCAAGTCAGCACCTATCTAGAGAAATATAGGCATATATAGTCGCTTCATCTTCAATGTAGTAGATATACACAACTCCATGTATGTATGCATCCACTACAAAGCCGCGGCATTGGATCTCCGGGTATGACGCACCATAAGTTCGGGGTTGCGCTTCGTCTCCTCCTTGAGGGCCGGGTCGGCAGCGAAGCGTCGCGCGGTAGTAGAGAATGCCCGTTGGGAAAGGGCTCTTCGGGCGATGATAGAGGCCATGGCTAACGGTATTTTCGACGATATCGCAGTGGTGGTTTTCGGGTTTGGGGTGTTGAGTTTAGGACGGGTTTGCGGATGAGAGAAGCTTCGAGGTCGTACGATGTAATAGTTCTTCAAAATTGACCAATGAGGAGCGGGCTTTGAAGGTCTTGGTTTTATACCTCACTTTTGAGGCACAGGTAATGTGTTTTTGTGTGTACGGAAATACATGTCACCTAGTTATGCACATAAGCGGTAGCGTCTTGCGTCATGGCGATATGGCGATATGGCGATATGGCGATATGGCGATATGGCTTTAATAGCTTCGTGTGGCTCAAGTACCTTACCTTAGGCGAGGGCTAGTAAGCATCAGCCCCCCAATCGTGTTAAGTAGTGCATGACAGGTACTTCCATGCATTATAATTTATAATTATAACTTGCATATGCTATGTACATGTATGTATATACGCACAGGCGCAATCTTCGCCCAAATTTATGCATGACTGGGCTCCCCTTTAGAATTCGTCTTCCAAATCCAGTCCCGTACTGCATCATCTATCTCGCGACGACTGCGAACTTTACGCGGCCCCCCCTCCAATTCGACCCGACCCGATTGTCCTTCCTTTTTTTCCTTTTGATTGCCTTTGCTACATCATCATATTCTAGTCATCCGACAGCTTCGCGACGCCTGCTGTGCAGATACAGCCGACCTCCGGAGAAAGGGATATTAACTTGACGCTCTCTTCATTTTCTTTTGATTTTGTCTTCTTTTGGGCAAACGAACCATCATTTTCTTCGCTCAAACGCTATTACCCAACTTCTTTTATTCCTCTCTTTTGGCGAGCCGACCGAATTAAGAGTATTTATTTTTGTTTGTGGGGTATGATTTTGTAATTGAGAACATATTCCAATTACTCCTAGTCATCGTTTCTACTTGACTAGGTCACGGACCTCTTAGGAAACTTGGACCATTCCGACCGTTTGCTTGGAAGTTATGTTATAAGGACTTGTCTCATGGAAGCTGAATACCGTGGAACACTATTCAAGCCAGACGAATCGCCTTAAACATGGCTTCAAATCAACCATCCGCGCAACCGGCTTCGCCCTCGGACGACACGGACAGCTTCCCTAAGCCCCAGTTCCCCGCCGGCCCTCCGAGTATCATATCGTCGCGAATGACCGACATTGCGTCCGAAGATGGCGACGGAGTTGCTCGAGAGCAAACAAGGACGACTGCTGGTCAGAGAAGGAGTTTCCGCGCCTCCGACTCTCGCCCTGGCACTGCGAGGACTGGCTTGTCCTCGTCACGCGGCGCTTGGTCGCAAGCGACTTCGCTGAGGAAGGGTATGCAGAGAGGAAGTAGTATAAGTGGCAGCATCAAAAGTGGCCGCCCGATTAGCTCTACAAGCCGAACCCACGTACCTTTGGCTTCCCATGCCTTCTTTCATCCCATGAGTTCTCAGAAGCTCCAAGCTCAGAGAGGCGCGCAACGAACTAGTAGTGGCATACAGCACCGGCTAAGCGTCGAATATGTACAGGATGATAATGAGTCTCATATCGCACCTCAGGACGTTGCTACCTCGAGACCCGCACCCCTTCTAGTCCGTCATATGACAGATGATGGGGACGCGCAACTGCCTCCCTCTAGGAGTACTGAGATTACAGAGCCGTATGATCGTATTACCGCCACTACAAGTCCGACCCGCGGCCACCACCCTACAGGCAGTCTTAGCGAGAGTACGCGCCCCTTGCAGAAGAAGGCTGAGGAGAAGGGCCTTAATCTGGACCTCGGCAAGACCAAGACGTACAGAGATCACGAAGATCTACCCAGCCCTGTTAGATCACCACGATCTTTCAGATCAGGACTTTTCTTACCGACGAAAGGCGAGTCGGCGGCCACTCCCGCGAATCGTAATACGCATGGCGCAGAGAAGTTGTCTTCTGGCGCATCGTCTCCTCGGTTTACCCTCGCTACTGCTAACATGCCGGCTACAAAAGCTAAGGCAGCCAAGGAAAAGGTACAGGGCCATGGCCATAATCATGAATATTTTGAGGGTAATACTGTATTCTGCATCGGAGGCCGTCTGCAAAATACGCGCCACCGGCCTATCAACATTGGGACTGGCCTCCTTGTTGTCTTACCAGCTGTTCTCTTTTTCGCATTCTCTGCGTCCTACCTGTGGCATCATGTTTCGCCTGCCGTGCCTATCGTTTTTGCCTACTTGTTCTATATCTGTATCTCGTCTTTCCTTCGCGCATCAGGTTCAGATCCAGGGGTAAGTAGATACCTACAGCGAAGAATTCCTCTCTACGATAACTAACAAGTGAACCTAGATCCTACCCCGGAACATCCACCAATTCCCCCCGGCGGATGAACATGAGGACCCTCTGCGTTTGGCACCCCCGACTAACGACTGGACTCTGATCAAATCAGCCGAGTCGAGCACTGCAGCGATGGAAGTACCGACGAAATACTGCAAAACTTGCAATATTTGGCGCCCTCCCCGGGCTCATCATTGTCGTTTGTGCGATAACTGTGTTGAGACCCAGGACCATCATTGTGTCTGGATCAACAACTGTGTTGGGAGGCGCAACTATAGATATTTCTTCACCTTTATAGCTTCTGGTACTCTCCTGGCAGTTTACTTGGTTGGCGCGTCGCTCGCTCAGGTACTAGTGTTTTCGAATGAGGAGAATGTGTCCTTTGGAGCAGCAGTCAGCCACTTCCGAGTTCCGTTCGCTATGGTTATCTATGGGTTTATATGCCTCCTATACCCCGCGGCTTTAATGGGCTATCACCTCTTCCTTATGGCTAGAGGAGAAACAACCAGAGAGTTCCTCAATTCGCAGAAGTTCTTGAAGAAAGAGCGGTATAGGGCATTCGCTCAGGGTAGCATATGGAAGAACTGGGTTGTAGTGTTGTGTCGCCCACGACCGCCAACCTACTACCGTTTCAAGCATCGATTCGAGGAAGGAGACCAACGGTTTGGGGTGCGCCGGAATCAACACGGGAACAATCCTTCTCAAGGCGGAGAGGATATGGAAATGCAAGCTGTGCGACCACCTTCTGCGGGCTTTCAAGGGCCAACCGCACTGCGCAACCTTACAGCCAGTACGCGATGAAAAACCCAGCATATCCGTCTCCTTCTACGGCAGTCTTACCGCTCGTTGCTAGGCACATATTTCATGTAATGTCTTCTAGCGCGAATACCCCTTCAATCAACTTGCTTTTTTTCTGTACTACTATGATTATTGGAATTAAGGGAAACGTGTGAAATTATTAAGTGTTCCTTCGTAAGGTCTCGGTAAAAGATAGGACCTAATATGTACGAGGTTAAAGGGTGATAGGGATAGGGACGGGGTTGTCTGAATGATGTTATGAAAGAAAGCATTTGGCTGTATCATGTTCATGTTGAAAATACGAGTCTTCAAAGTGTACTTTTAATACCTATTCTCTTTATTTATACCTACCTCCTTATAGACATATGGAATGGTTCGATGGGAGTCTGATATCACGTGATGACTAATACCTGTGATACAATGCCATTCCGCCCACTCTGCCCACTTTGCCCACTCTCAGCCGTAACCTGATCAGGAAGTTGGACTTATACTAACACGATTAGCTGATGGTCTCGTGAATAAAAATTTGTAATTAATCTCTTTTGCTGAGTTTGTTTTGTTGCATTCTGTCTCTGTCGAATAAAACTTTTTTTTTATACCTATTGGTTCGTTGCTCATTCTTTATGCCAATGTTAGAGCCATAGGTTTAGATTTGGTCGACTGCTTTCTTTTAGATATACTGATTGTTTAGATTCGCCCTCTCTATTGCGCGTCGCTTATATCCCCCGACGATGGGTCAACCGTCGTTCGAGGCATCCAATGCCGTTATATACGTTACTTATGGCGCGTTTCTGTATGTTTCTACTCATAGACTGAAGTTGTGTATAGCTGAACTAATCATGGGACCCCAGGTTATTAGGAACAGGCCTGGCCTGGAAAATGAGAAACCAGTCCAAGGCTGAGTTCCTCTCTGGAAATAGGACTCAAACTGGTCAGAATCCAAATGGGAGCTGGATGAGCCGACATTCTGTCTTATCTTACTGCTCTCATATCCCCTTTGTCTCTTTCTTGTAAGATTCATACTGACACTCCTCATAGCCTTTCCTTTGGCGCTCAATTTCATTGCTGCTGGTAAGTAAGGAATTGTCATGGCGCTTAGGCGAATCGCCCCCTCCCCGTCCAGGGATCACGAGCGGTAGCACCTGTACAACGATCAACCGGAGCAGCATACAAAGACGACGCCCGATTATCTTGGCGTTTTGATGTACTACTACGAGACATAGGGTAAGACTTGTGTAACAGACAAGTAGGTTTATGCCATATCCAACAATTATCCTCCCTCTTCCACGACCCCATTCCCCCGGGATCCGTGTTAGAGGGTAGGTAGATTGCGGCTCACTACGGGCGCTGAATTGAAGCAGTCCTCCTCGGATAGGATCCAACCCCGCAACTCCTATTTATGTCTATGATTAGGTGTTTGTGAGGAGATCCCCGGGAGTCTGCGGATATGAAGCTGAGATTGTACCGTAATACTCGATCAAGTTAATGCTTGCGTGGGAAACGTGCTGCCGCTCCGGTCCCCCTTTCCCCCCTTTAAATATGCTAAATATACTAACCCTCCTTACCATCTTCTCAGCTATGGGCTCGGGAATCCTGTTCTCGTACCCACAGCTTGCTACCCTTGCAGGCCTCCAGGGTGTGCTGGTGTATGCCATCTCGTCGGCTGTCCCGCTGCTGATCTTCGCGGCGCTCGCGCCAATTATCCGCAGGAAGTGTCCCGAGGGATTCGTCCTGACGGAGTGGACGAGGCAGCGGTATGGCGTTGTGACGGCGCTTTATTTGGGCGCTTTGACGTTGCTTACACTGTTTCTGTATATGGTTGCAGAGCTGTCTGCTATCGGGCAGGTCATCGAGGCTTTGACCGGGCTGAATGGTCTGCCTGTTGTTATTGTTGAATGTGTCGTTACTACTATTTATACTTGTAAGCTACCTACTTATCTGTTTTCTATGCAACCTCCGGTTACTTAGGTCGATATCCTGACAACTGCACGATAGCCCTCGGAGGTTTCAAGATCTCCTTCATCACGGACAACGTCCAGGGCGCCATGATCTGCGCCCTGATCATCATAGCTACGATCACCATCGGCGTCAAAACAGATATCAAGCCAGAGTTAATCGCTGATTCTGGCCTGCTTAACGCGAGTCTCGTAGGCTGGCAGTTGGTTTACATTCTACCCGTCGCCATCCTGACCAACGACTTTTTTCTGGCAAACTTCTGGCTACGCGCCTTCGCCTCCAAGACCGACAAGGACCTCTGGATAGGCGTCTCGGTGGCCGTGGTCGTTATTCTGATCGTCTTGACGCTAGTCGGGTGCACTGGTTTAATTGCCGTGTGGTCAGGCGCATTTGAGCCCGACGGCGATGGATCCGTGGCTTTCTTCCTGCTGCTGGAGCAACTACCCAATTGGGTCGTGGGTATCGTCATCGTCATGTCGGTGTGCCTGAGTACTGCAGCATTCGATAGCTTACAGTCTGCCATGGTATCCTCCGCTTCCAACGATATCTTCCGCAACCGTCTGAACATCTGGTGGATCCGAGGCGCGGTCGTGCTGGTTATTTTCCCAGTGGTAGTGCTTGCGCTGAAGGCACCGAGTATTCTGCAGATCTACTTAATCTCTGACCTACTATCCGCTGCTACTATTCCGGTACTTATACTCGGACTATCGGAGCGCTTCTACTGGTGGCGGGGTTTTGAGGTATTAATCGGCGGTCTTGGAGGGATACTAACGGTCTTTATCTTCGGCACTATCTACTACGGCGACGCGAAGTTGGGCGGTGAGCTCATTCTTCTAGAGCAAGGACTGTACACCGGGGACTGGGGTGCGTTTGGAGCCTTCGTTGCTGCGCCGGTCGGTGGTTTGCTCTGGGGATTCGGCGCGCTGGGAGTAAGACTGGGTGTCCAGTACGTGCTATCTAGGGTACGAGGTACCCGATTCGATGCGCTTGACTACCCTACTATAGTGCCGCAGGAGGATTCTGATGCCTTGGCTGGGTCAAGTGAAGATACTACGACTACCAAGATCACTGGCAAGTTTTTCTAGGCCGGGTTCTACTGCAATATGAAATAGGACAAAGTACAACTTTTGCGCGGTGTGCGATATAAGAAAGGGGGGTTTAGAATCAAGAGCACATAGGTAGACTATCGTTTTGGCGGATGAGGCCAACCTTTAATTTTTTCCCCAAGGGCTGTTTTATGTCGGAATAAAGTTGAAAATTGAACTATACCATGGTATACTTTAATTTACGGATAATGCGAGTCTAGAGTGACGTTAACTGTTTTGGAGTTCGATTTATACAGGTCTTATGCATACAAGCCCATACTATACACATTTTTACTTTTTCTTTTCTTTTTTACTATCCCGTCATTACCTACTTCCCGGCCTCGTCCGCCATAACAGCATCAAGGTTCTCTATCTCCGCTATGTACTCCTCGTATCTCGTCTCAGGTAGTGTACCCCAGATCTTCCAAGGCTCAGCCTCGAAGGTATTCTTATCCATACCAGCCTGGAGGACAATGTGCTCCGTGATCTTGCGCACGCGCTCGCTGCCAGCGACTTTAATGCCGCCCTTGGTGTCGTCGTAACGCGCGATGCGCTGGACGCTGGAAATGCTGACCACGATTTGCTTTAGCGTCTTCATGTCACCGTTTGGCAGGGGCTGGTATCCGACGCGCCAGTCGGCGACACGGGGGTACAGCCAGGTGTTGCTGTAGCGCACGAGCTCCCACTCGGCGCGGATGCCGCGCGGGCGGGCGTCGATGGTGGCAGCTAGGGTCTGGAACAGCTCGGGCGTGCAGATGCTGCGCAAGGTCTCCTTGTCACCGACGGCCATGGCCTCGGACATCTGGATGTGTAGGGCCTTGGCTGTGGGGATGGCGGCCGCTCGGTGGAATTTGAACAGCGGCTTGCTGATCAGGACCGTCGGCTGCGACATGACTTTCATAGATATTACGGCCCAAAGCGTCCCGTAGCGGGCCTTGATATGTAGCCATAGCATGTGGAAGAACTTCTTGGGCTGGCGCGGGTATCGCCAGAGAGGAGGGGCCACGAGGGTCTCTGTAGGCGCAGAGTGAATATTTAGGTACATGTATAATGTAATTCATATATGATTGGTAGAACTAACGGGGTATTAACATTGTTATATTGGGCTCCATCTGCTGAACATCGCTCTTCTTAAACGACTTCATCGACCTTGGTCTTGTAGGTCCCCTCCTCGCAGCATATGGACGCAATGGAGTTGTGCTTATACTGCGGTAAAGACCGCATACGATAGGGGATGGCGCTCGTGAGCGTATGGAGGAGAGCAGCCAGGGCCGCGACTGGCGCAGGAGTTCGGCCATGATTTCGAGGGTGTTCTGAAGAGGTGGATGAAGTGGATGAGGTGGATAGAGGCGGGGGGTTGAGTTGTTAATGAGGAGCTTTCAATGGGCTCTCGACTCGCAAGTCAAGTTTACGGCGGCAACATTGGATGATATAGAGCGGTGAGGTTAGAAATTACGAAGTCGTCGGTCCTCTTCCGGTTGCGCAGCCGCTGTGATGAGTGATGAGAAATATCGAAGCAACATCTCGTTCAATGAAAAATTTAGGTGGGGCAGAATTCTAGAAGAGAAGCTCATAAGGTTAGCCAATAGGATACGCTAAGTGACTGGGTTATGCTACTGGGTCAGTGGGTTATGCTAAGGTTTAGAGCGTGGGGCGGTACGATCTCCTTCCTATCAAAGCTAAAACACCCTATTAGATTTAGTTCCGTAGGTGACCTACTTCCCTATTTATTTAAGTTGATAAGTTGACAGAGGGCTGCAGGGTACTGTTGCTCAGGTACTGTTGCTCAGAGTTTAGGCAGTGTTACGTAGTAATATGACCTCACAGACCACATTGCCCAATCTTTCTAGAAACCTTTCTACCTTTCTACCACATTACTATAATCCTACCTACTACATACAACAAAATACGCCTATATTTATTAGGTACATATCCCCCCACCAAAAACACCGAACGCATTGTTCGACTTTCGATATTTCTAAAACGGCCTTTGTCCCCCGTGTCTCGTGCTTAACCGCCGCCGCTACCATCACCACTTTCCTATGGCCCAACTCGAAACGACTACGTGCAACTCGATAATATATAGGAAATCAAATTGGGGGTTGGGCAGAGGTAGTTAGTTAATATATATACATAGATCTTAGACCATCTTAGGTACTTTAAGCCGTCTGCGGGAAGGCCCCTTGAATGGCCAACCCAAGGCTCAGGACCCCCTCCTCCAGCACACATGCTACCGATCCCACCGATATACCTCCCGTCCCCGTCGTAGCTGTTTCCCTTCTACAGCCCCGCGTCGCCGTCGCTCTCGGCGTACCTAAGCGTTGGCATCATACTCTCTCCGCTTGTCGTCTACTCTCTATCGTCCCTCCTATACTCTGGGGCCTTCGATACGCCTTGCGTTTCCTCCTTGCCGATCTGTTACGCTTGTCCGAGCAAGACCATGGCCATAATGTTAGTCTTTCCTCCTTGAGGTTGACCGAGACGGCATTAGCTGTTATATGGGTATGTTGCTTCTGCTAGCTACGGACTTGTCTTATGTTCCTGTTACATCGTTTCTGTTGTGCTGACCCGGTTAACCAGTGCTACGCCTCTGCATATCTCGCCTTCTTTTTCACCGACTGCCTCATGTCACGCTGGCTCATCAACTACACGCCTCAAGCGACAGTTGTGCGCCTCTTCACTATTAGCTGCGCCTTCGCCTACCTGACCTCGTGGATCGTATACCTAGCTGGTGGTTCTCAAGACCCTGGTCTGCTGCTGCCAGCCTGGATCGGGATAGCCACCATCTTAACCCTCTGCTACCACTTCACCCAGCGCAAGATTAAGATACGGAAGGAAACCTTTGCTAGTATCAGCGTCTTTTCCATAGCAAGCTTTATTAGCATGGTTGCCTTACTATTACATTCCCATACGACCAGAGCTGGATATCAGAACGTCCCGATAGTTGGCATAACCAAGCGAGCATGTCAAATCGGAGCATACATCATTTTCCGCATTGTAGGCCTTACTGGGGACTTGGACGGTTTATGATATAGGACATCGACTTCCTAATGTTTTGTTCACGTTGTTGCAGCTTAATGCCGTCGAAAAACGTTAACTAAGCTACACTTATATTAACCTATCAGGATGCATAAATGTGTCTAGCCTAGTCACCGACTTTAGCAATGGGATGCTCCGAGAAGCTTGATGTTTTTACTTTAAGAGAAGCGATTTCGAGCCCGATAAGTGTACTCCAGGATAGAAGACAAATATATTTTAACCTTGGGCAGATTAACTATAGTTTTTCTTTTGGCTGTCTGTAGCTGCATTTAGATGATAATTCAGCTTGCGTATATATTCCCCCTAGCCATACGGGCTTTGTTTGTTCCTAGGCGGAAATTAGATATTTGCGTTTAGATCGCTGGTGGGAAATAGAATTTGTTCTTCAATAATATATGCCTAATGAAGTTATCTACACTGTTCGACATTATTTAACATAAGATCCTAACTTAGGAGAATGGGATGTTTCGATTCCGAAAAGTTCTAGGAATGCCCACCAAGTTTGGTCTACTCTGATGCTTCTCGAGAGGTTACCCTGACTCCTGCTCTGTATTTCTTAGTACAACTACTAGGTATATTGCAAGGCCAATTGGTGTGTTATTCATAGTTTACCCCCTTTTTTTGGAATCAGGGAAGGGATTTGATAATGAAATGTACTAGGATATTGAAGTGACTAGGAGGGTGGAATGGGCTGAGATAAAAATTCACCAACGTCGGAAATCGTTCTGTTAACACTATTTGCGCATATGCAGTCGAGTATAATCGGTTTACCTCCGTCTTCATTGATACTAAGTACAATCTCAACGAGCCGCTGTATGAGTGTATGTAATAGTATATGTGGTAGTGTAAAAAGGAGAAAGAGAAAGAAAAGGGGTAGTATTATCTATAACATCGTTGGCTGTCTCATTTTGGTGTGTTACGTCTATGTATGTTTTACGGCCTCCATAAAGTACTTTATCAAGGTTCCAAGCCGAAAGGGGGCCGAAACCGGTGACTGGTACCACAGCTGGCTCAGTATAATCTTGGCAGATATCAACGTCGGACACTGTCTAGGAGGGGCAGCTCTTGAGATAGAGACTTGAGTAACACCTATCATCCTCGTCTGTCCTACGATCCATTAGGATATGGCAACGATCCGACCCCGAACCGATCATGACATTCCAGCATGTCTTCAAGTGCTTAATGTCGTCTATAAAGATAGCGGGTATCCCGTACAGGGAGTTGGTGATCCGGCACAGTTCTTCAACAAATATGAGACTACTTGGGTTGCTGAGGTTGGCGGGACTGTCGTGGGACATATCGCCCTCGCAGAAGGTGCCGCAGGGAACGTTGCAGTGGACTTGTGGCAGAAGCAACATCCTGAAGATGTCCATATTGCAGTTATAGGAAGGCTCTTCGTTCACCCTGATAATCGCAAGGGCGGCACAGCCAGCAAGCTCATTAGCACCGCTGTAGAGGAAGCACGGGGGAGAGGACAGCGGCTGCTCATGTTTGCCTTGATCAAAGATCAGGATGCTATTCGCTTGTATCGGAAGCTGGGATGGCAGTATTTCGGCAACACCGTGTATAATTGGGGGGAAGGCAATGGTATGGATGCGGAGTGCTTTGCAAGCCCAATGTCGTGAAGCTCTAGGGTTGGATGCTATGGCTTGTTAGCATCCTGGTTGCTCAAGGATAGTATCATGGTGTGTTGTATGGAATAAGGGGGTGCTTTCCGGGATGAACAGATCAAACTTTCCCTTCATTTTCTAGCCATGGGCATTTATTATTATCGTACTTGTCTACTAATAGTCCTCCATATGAAGCGAGATGTTTCCTAGATGTACATTGTAAGCTGGCTAGCTCGTCCAAATACAACTTCGTACTATCTCTCACTCCAAGTCCCAGTCCGTATATATTTCTTCAAATTAGATCATATTGGAAATGCTGTGGGATTCTTGTTGTTGCGATCCTCTCCTCTTGTACCTAGATATACCTCATATACCTATGTACCAGGCTCTAATGGCAGGTAAAGACATGTAGATATTAGTATTCAATCAATATTGTGCACGGACTAATAGGGCGGTGTGATAAATACACCTTATGATTATGTACAACCGCTTGTTACTTCGCTCTTGCTTATTTGACTCTTGATTGCTCGGCTCCTGCTTACTCGACCTTTGGTTATTCGGTTATTGTTATTCAATTGTTGATAATAGAGAAGCTCCGACCAGAAGCTCCGACCACCAGAAGCTCCGACCATCACAGGGACGCGACTTACTCTTCACTCTTTGTACTATCGTAGTCCCTTCTTGCTTCTTGACTAGCAACCCTAAGGTTCCTACAACTGCAGGAGCGCCCTCAATTCTTTTTTATTTATTTATTTAAGCACCCCGGTTCCTTCAAAGTTGCCTCTCAATATACCTACTCTTCATCCCAACTTTTAACAATCCACAACCCTTTCATCCTCTAAATAAACCTATCATCTTCTACATTAACCTATCATCTTCTTACCCATATTAAGGGGAAACACCTAGGGTGAAAACTTCAGCCGCTTGCGACACCTTCACCATGCTGTCGCGTCGCATCAATGATAAACTCCTGTACACCTTGGAGTTTACCTACAATAGTAAGTTTAATACAATATATTCCTTTGAGCCATCACTGACTTCCACCAGCTCCCTCATTAATCACTCTTATCCCACGACACAAAACCTACTTCCATACCTATCATTGTCTACCCTCATCAATGGCATATACCTTAGTACGCCTAATATATACCTAACAGTCCAACTATAGTAGGTCTCTTTCCCAACTTCTTTTACTTCTGCCCTGTTCTCTGCTTTCTTTTGACTAGTTCTTATTGCCGCCTGACCTATGTGCCGCTTCTAACATTACACACTTCTTGCCCACCTATTTCCATTACTTAGCCCTTTTCAATATTGCTCACACCAACAACACAATGAATGTTTTTTTCTTTCGCTAAATTTGCTAATGTCCTTGTTCTAGACAGCATGCCCATGCCGCAGTTGAGCAATGCTGGATTTTAAGCAACAATACCTACCTAAGTGGTTTCTCTAATATATTCGCCTCCTCTAAAGCCACCCACACAGGTAAGTAGAGGAATCACTTTATAGAACCCCTATAGAATATTAATTGCTAACATAGAATTCCCAGGGCTCTCCAAAATGGAGAAAATTTCGATGGTGGTGTCAAATATGGTGGCGCCAGTTGGCATATACACTTCGTGATTATGATCACACACTCCTTGTGGTTCCAATGGAGGTTCCAACCAAGTAAGTTCTTTCATAATATATTAGCACATGATAACCCTGTTCTTATCTTCATACTTCGCCATTCGTGTCTTCTGCCCCCATCTCGTGTGTTTACAGTGGTTATTCATCAATTGGAATAGTGATAGCATACACATTTCCTAAAATTATAACTGACCTTTACTCTTCTTTCAACGTCTAGGACCTAAACTACACGCCCTATATTATGCTACTAGAATCAGTTATTTCTCTAACCGACGAAGAAACCCTCCACGCCATGCTAAGGTACTTCAACCAACTTAGGATTGCAGTATCTATAAAAGATACAATAACCCCCTGGAGGCTATCGATATTGTTAAAGGACAACACAACGCGACTGTCCAGATAACCCCCGGGACTTCAATTTCACATAACTAAAGTGACCTTTGAGGAGCACATACCAAATGTTTGGTTCACATTCCATTTAATGTGGGCAATGCAAGGAATGGAAGACCTATATACACTTAATTTCATGGCCGCGGACGTCAACGTCCCCAGGCGTGAACAAGAAGTGGTCCGGAGCTGATAAGGAGCATGCCTCCAAGCGCCAGAAGGTTCGAAGGACAAAGAACCTTCATCCGCCACCATGGCGGGACAGAGCCTCGCAACTCAACTAATACGCCTCAAATTACCACATTATCACCTTTAATCGCCAAATTAATCACCAACTAACTCAACATATAAAAATTAATTCCTGTCAAAAAGGGTGTATTACTATGAAAAGAGTAAGGAAAAAGCTATCAAAAGTACAAGCAACACAACTAGCATATTAGCCACTGATTCTGATTCGATCATTATGATGTTGGCCGTGTGGAAATGGAAAATGAACTAAAGTACAAAAGACAAAAGGACAAGTATGGCCAACTGGCCCATGCTAGATAGACTTAATCTATCCTAGTCCATGTCTTGAAATGAATCGAAGAAGAAAAAAGATGGCGGAAAAAGGGGGGGAGAAGAAGAGACCAGAGACAAGGTTGTGGGATATTTTTCAGTTGATGGCTGATCAAGCGCCACCTGAATCCCTATTAACAACTCGTTTGCCTAATGTCGATGAGTATCAAAGCAAAAAGATTGCAATAACTTCAGTTTATGTCCTGAGTTACCACAAAAAGCAATAATGCAAAGCTTTCGGATCTTCGAAGTTTCTTTGTGCACAATGCCCGGAATACATGGTTGAGTTGGCGAAGTGACATGTTCAAGAGTTCTCGGATCGTGTTCGGATGGCACCAAGTCGTTGCATAATTCCAGAGCTGTGCTTGGTGGGAGTGGCCGCATCTTCACCACCATCGTCGTTGTGACCAGCACCGGAAGCACCAGAAGCACCGGGAGCACCGGGAGCACCGGGAGCACCCTGGGCAGTTCCCATGGGAGAGGGAGAGTATCCACCGCCGTAATACATGGCTGCGAAGTTGGGGTCCTGGAGATAGGGGGTCATCCAAGAGTAGGGTGTGTGATAGTACGAAGCCAAGGGGCTCAGCATTCCCGGAGTGGCTTGCGGAGTTGCTGGAAAGGTCTCAGTGCCAGCCGGAGGGTTCGCCTGGTACGAAGGTCCGCCATAGGACGACGGGGTCGAATAGTTCTGATCTGCGAGAGGCGCCATGCCATAGGCGCTGCCTTGAGGCACCTGAGAAGAAGGTGCAGGAGAAGGCGTGGCAGTATCTACCGCAACAGTGTGCGACGGGGTCGCGGGTTCGGAGGGCAGATTAGCCATGGACTGCTTCTGGCCCTCAATGTGCTCGCTACGAACAGGGGTGTTGGCAGCACTAGAGAGCATGGTTCTAGACTGCATGTGACGAATACCCTGGGGCTCTCGGCTAGCTTTACGCTCTACGCGAAGCACACATCCACGCATAACCCTTCCGTTCTACAACATAAAAGTCAGTCAACTAGAACCAAGAGGTGCATAGATTCGTGATCTGATAGAGAGCTTACCAAGTGCTTTACGGCAAGATCCGCCATGTCAGGGCGGGCAAACTCAACGAAACCAAAAGCGATAGGAGCCTGACGGCCTGAGAGTGA